AAAGAAAGAAAGAAAGAAAGAAAGAAAGAGCCACACCAATGTTGGGCTGGACTGTGGCCGTATGTCGAGGACTACCTGTACCGGGTGGCTGGGAAGTTCCCAGTCACCTGCCGGGCGCCAGGTAGAACGGGAGCGAAGCGCGTCGCTCCGCCTCCGACGGGGAAAGTTTCCCCGCCTCTCCATCCACACCGCCCGCCCTCCTCCCAGCCGTAAATCCGCGGAGCTGAGCCGGCTGGCTTCGGTTCCCCCTCCAGTGAGTCCGAGCTGCCATGGCGAGCGGGGCGGCCGCCGGCTTTCTCTTGGTCCTGGCCCTTTGGTGGCGCGGCGGCGGCGCTGCAGGTACCCCTCGGCAAAGGCGCGATCGGCGGGGCAGGAGGGGGCCGGGCGAGCGGGCAGAGCAGGGGGCAAAGGTTGGGAGATTGCAGCTGAGCCGGGAAGGGCCGCCGCGGGGGGACGGGGGGACGGGACGGTGGGGTCCCGTTTGGAAAGGAGACCACGAGGAGATTCCCCCCGGGAGGGACTAAAGCCAGACGGGGAAAACCCCGCGCGAAAAAACACCTTAACGCCTCGCCAAGGATCCTTCTCCACTACGGACGAAGGGAGGTGTCGCCTTTACTTTGGTTTTACTTCCCAGACAAAGGATGTAACTCTCGCCTCAGATAACAGATAGTCAAGAGTTGGAAGGGACCTTATGGGTCATCTAGCCCAACCCCGCCCCCGCCCAAGCGGGAGACCCTACACCTCCCTTCCGAAGCTTCTCCCGCGTCCCTTTTCCGCCTTCGTCCGCCTGCATAAAATCCGATTGAAGGCGCGGAGTTTCTTTTGCAACGATCGGGGGCGGGGGCAGGCTTGGCGTAAAGTGATCGCCGTTCCGCTGACTTTTTTTACACCGGTCGGGATTTAAGAGGGATTTTATGACGTCGTTCGTCTCTCTCTTTCCCCACCCCCAGACCCACAACTCCAAAATTTTCAGGAATACTGCATACTTCCCCGCTTCTCCCCAAGCTTCAAAAGAGTTTTCGGTCACAATTGTCTGTGCCCCCCACCCGCGAAGTTTTAAAAGTTGAGGGAGGGGGTGGAATCAGGTGCATAATGTTTCTACGATTCTTTTATAGCTTTTCTAACTGTTGGGTGAGGGTGAGGGAGGGGCAATTGAGAAGTTTGCCCTGTTTCGATTAGGAAAGGGGACAAGAAGCAAAACATTTTTTGTGAGAAAGGAAAAGGAAAGAGAAGGAGAAAGAAAGAAGGAATGCAAGCACAAAAAAGGGTAGAAAAAGAAAAAAGGAGAGAAGGAAATAAAAAGAGAGAGAAAGAGAAAGAAAGAAAGAAAGAAAATAGGTGAAAAAGAAAGAAGAGAAAGAAAGAAAGAAGAAAGAAAAGAAAGAAAGAGAAAGAAAAGAGAAGGAAGAGAGAGAGAAAGAAAGAAAGAAGAAAGAGAAGAAAGAAAGAAAAAGAAAGAAAGAAAGAAAGAACGAAAGAAAGAAAGAAAGAGAAGGAAGGGAGAGAGAGAGAGAGAGAGAAAGAAAGAGAAGGGAGGAAGGAAGGAAGGGATAAATAAATAAATAAATGAAAGAAAGAAAGAAGCTGTGAATAGAAGACAGGTAGAAATACAAAGTAAAATAAAATTAATTTGTGAATTAGACAAAATTCAACTGGGGTTCTTCCTGGTCAACCCCAACCTTTTAGCCTGCAAAAATAGCCGCGTTGTGATGAATTTATAGAGAATTTTCCAACACTTTTCAGTCTGGCCCATTCAACCAAGCTAAGAATGAAAAATGGAAAACGCTGCTATTTGTATGCAGGGTTCTGAGTGAGGAGGAATGGTACTGTTGGACACAGATTTAATAGAGCAGGATGAGTCTGCATTCTGCTTGGCAAGATAAAAGCCCAGGCGATGCTTTTAGAGGGAGTGCAACTGCGATGCTCTTCGCTTGTCTCATATCAGCTTCCAAGAGTTGATGGGATCTGCTGTACTTTATTTAAACCTAGCGCACCCTATTTGATTTACTCAGGTGTGTCTAAATCGTGGCTTAAGGGTGACATGCCCAATGTGTTTTGTGTTTAGATCCTGCCTTTATTGTTTTTATAAATAACTTGGCGAACAAATCCAGTATGCTTTCCTCCTCCTGTTTTTCCCACAACAACAACCCTGTGAGGTGGGTTGGACTGAGAAGGGAGGGAGGGGACCAAAGTCCCCCAGCTGGCTTTCATGGCTAAGGTTGGACTAGAACTCCCAGGCTTCTAGTGATTGGTCCAAAAGTCTCCCCAACTGGCTTTCCTGCGTAAAATGGGACTAGAACTCCCAGTCTCCTGCTGATTGGTCCAAAGTCACTCAATTGACTTTCATGCCTAAGGCAGGACTAGAACTCCCAGTCTCCTAGTGA